ATATGAGCTGTTCGTAGTTTTAGAGGCAAAGATGCTTGTGCAATCATGTAATTAATTAATATTATATACCACCACATAAAATAACAAATTCGTTGTCAATTTTATATGGTCTTGGAGTTTTGTCCGTATCATTTAAGAAAGTTGTGACGTCGCAAGTATATTTAATACGGCAATTATGTGAGGTTTTAATAGTTTTGGAGAAAAAAAAGCTTGTGTAATCAAGTAATCGATTAATATTATATACCGCCGTATAAAGCAGAAAATTTCCTGCTTTATATGATCTCGTAGTTTTATCCGAATCATATTAGAAAGTTATGACACCGTAAACATTCAAATATGGCATTTATATGCAGTTTTTGTAATGTTAGGGGCAAAGATGCTTGTGCAATCAAGTGATTGATTATATACCGCCGTATAAAGCAGAAAATTTTGTATCAATTCCACATGGTTTCGAAGTTTTGTCTATGTCATATAAATAGTTATGCCATAAATATTTAAATAAACTAATTATATGAGGTTTTCGTAGTTTTAGAGGCTAAGATGCTTGCACAATCAAGTGATCGATTAATATTACATACTACCGTATAGAGCAAAAAATTACCTATCGATTCTTTATGGTCTCGCAGTTTTGTTCGTATTGTATAAGAAAGTTATGACGCCGTAAATATTTAAATACAGCAATTATATGAGGTTTTCGTAGTTTTAGAGGCAAAGATGCTTGTGCAATGAGTGATTGATTAATGTTATACAGGGTGTCCCGCAACGATTGTACAAAACTGCATCAACGTATTCTATGATCAAAAATAAACAAAAAAAGCCTAATAAACATAGGTCCGAAAATGGACCATTTTCGAGATATTCAAAGATTTAGTTTCATAAGTTGATATTGTTAACATCATGAACACAGACTACTACTTGCTTACTTACTCTGTGATCATGAATTTAAATTTGTTTTTATAATTATTAAGTCGTTACTATGATTACGATAAGTTGTCTAATCAAGAAAAAGTAATAATACTTCACGAAATTATTATTTTACTATTTAATTTAATAAAACTATTAAGTATGGCTCCTATTAATTACTCCAAGGAAGAGATGGCGGATATGGTGTATTGTTACGGACTAGCTGATGGAAATGCGTGTTTATCAGCTCGTCATTACGCGCAAAGGTTCCCGAACAGACGATTGCCTAATAGTCACACCTTTAGCAGACTATTTCTCAAATTAAAAGAAACGGGAAGCGTAACCCACAGCCATTCCACGGAGAGACATTACACAAGGCCGGTGGAATCAGAAGAAGCAGTTTTGAGAAGAGTCGATGAAAATGCCTCAACCAGCATTAGAAGAATTTCTGCACAAGAAAACATTAACAAAACAACCGTTCACCGCATTTTAAGGGAGCAGTTGCTTTATTCTTATCATTACAACACCGTTCAAGCTCTAACAGAAAATGATGGCGAAAAAAGAGAGATTTTTTGTAGGTGGGCCATACAGGAAGAGGTAGTAAACGTCGACTTTCCCATAAACATTGTATTTACGGATAAAGCAACATTTACTCAAAGCGGAATTTTTAATATTCATAATGCGCACGTTTGGAGCGATGAAAATCCCCATGCAATACTAGAAACTCATCATCAGTGGCGATTCAGTGTTAATGTATGGGCTGGAGTTATAGGTGATCAGTTATTAAGTCCATTTTTTCTTCCAAAGACATTGACAGCCGATGCCTACATACATTTTTTACAAAATGACCTTACAGAGGCATTTGATGAATTACCTCAACAAATTCTAGAAGATTGCTACTTTATGCACGATGGAGCACCAGCACATTATGCACGCGCTACTCGAGCATACTTAAATAACAGATTTGGCAATAAGTGGATTGGCCGAGGTGGTCCTGTCCCGTGGCCACCTCGTTCACCAGATTTAAATCCGTTAGATTTTTGGTTTTGGGGACATTTAAAACAAATTGTTTATTCTGAAGACGTTCAAAATATGCAGGATTTGAAGAATAAAATTAGTAACGCATTTGACACAGTAAAACAAATTCCTGGTATCTTTGAACGCATTAGAAGTTCATTTAGAAAACGTATCCGTTTGTGTTTAGAAGTGAATGGTGCGCATATTGAACATTTATTAAGACATAAATCTTTTCTAATTTGTTAAATATTCGTTGTTTTTATGCTGGTTGAACGATTTTCTTCGACAATCTTTGTTACTTGTTTTGTTAAATTATTAATGAACTGTATTAATTAACTTAATATTATCTTATTATTTATTAAACTTTATCTTAACCATCGTAACTATGGTAATCATATAATTACTGCATCTAAATCGTTAGAATTAATGATGTTTACAACAGGTCAGCTTATGAAACTAAAACTTTGAATATCTCGAAATTGGTCCATTTTCGGACCTATGTTTATTGGACTTTTCTTGTCTGTTTTCGATCAGAGAATACGCTGATGCAGTATTGTACAATCGTTGCGGGACACCTGTATACTGCCGTATAGAGCAGAAAATTTTCTATCGATCCCATATGGTTTCGAAGTTTTGTCTATGTCATATAAAAAAGTTATGCCGTAAAAATTTAAATATAGCAATTATATGAGCTGTTCATAGTTTTAGAGGCAAAGATGCTTGTGCAATCATGCAATTAATTAATATTATATACCACCACATAAAATAACAAATTCGTTGTCAATTTTATATGGTCTTGGAGTTTTGTCCGTATCATATAAGAAAGTTTTGACGTCGCAAGTATATTTAATACGGCAATTATGTGAGGTTTTCATAGTTTTAGAGGAAAAAAAGGTTGTGTAATCAAGTAATCGATTAAATTATATACCGCCGTATAGAGCAGAATATTTCCTGCTTTATATGATCTCGGAGTTTTATCCGCATCATATCAAAAAGTGGTTTAATACGCGTTAATAAGCTGTTTCTACAAAAAGAAATTGTTACAAAATCTCGTAATTCATTTTTGTTGCACACTGATAGAAAAGGTAGAAAATTTTCAGTTTGATCGATATTGCTTTCCTCCGTTTTCCCTACCAAATAAAAACGTTGTGTTTAAGAAGATCAACCTACCGATTCTGTAATGTATAGGTTTGTTAGGTTGGCGTGTTTTTTGGCTGCCGCCGAAGATGTTGACCGGATGAAACACGAATATAGATAGCCCAAAGTAAGCTTTTTCAAATTGACAAAGTTTTTTTTAATTTGTTTCCGTTACGGTTCAAAAAATTCTAAACCTTATTGCGCTTAATACGCATTATTCCTTGTTTATATCGTAGGCTAAGAATAGTTTACAATCGTAGAAAACAGTTCGTTGCAAGTTTGTGCTAATTTTATATGTATTTAAAACAAATTCTTGGTTAACATTTTACGTTAATAACTATTCCAAGTTCAAATAAACCCATAATTAACATTAAATGATCTCTAATTAACATCATGATGTTTTAGCATGTTGGGCGAATTAAATCCATAATGGTACTCAAATATATAATTGTGCAATGTAAAAGGTTTTCTATGATTAAATAGTTGAGTTTTATTTACAGTAAATATTTTAAAGCCTTTATTTACATAACGGTTTTAACTTAATACATTGCAATTATTAAATACCGCGAATTTGGGTTAGTGATTGGAGTGCAATTCGATATCGTGGAATCAAAATTGTAATATACAATTTACTTCATTGTGTAAATAATAGATATGGAGGTATTTATGTAAAAAAAAGTGACGCAGTAATGTGAGTTTTCAGTTATTCTAGGAAATAGAAAATAAAACGGATTCGTTCTTATCGAGAGAATTAATTAAAAAAAAATTTTGAATTTGTAATTAACTTCAATGAAATAAAGAATTTTTTTAAAACAACTCTTTCTAAAACTTAAAGTATAAATGAAGTTTAGAAGATAGGTTAAAAGAGGTTAGCGAATAATAATGGATGGTAAAAATAGCGTAAAGGTCGAAATATATACACATAGAATTTTCCCTCAACTAAATTTACTGGAATAAAAGATCAAAATTTAAACAGCGAACAAAGAAATATTAAAAGAAAGATTAATTACACGGAACGTTTTAATGAAGCTCCTTTTCCCTTATTATTTAGGTAATTTTAAAAAAATATTTTAATTTCTTTTATTAATATTAATTTAAGTAATTCATTTCAATTTTATTTCTTGTAAATATCTTTTTATTTTGAGGCAAAATGAATAAAAGCTCGTTTGAAATTGCTTTGAATCGTTTGGGTTGTGGTTGATGTAACTACTTGGGATATAAGAAGCTTACCAATCCATCGCAATCCCTCCAAACCTAACACCATAATAAACGACCCCTTTTCAATTTTATTAAAATACCTTTGATAATATATCCATACAAGATTCTTATCGACTGTCCAAACTAGGACATTTAATGATGAAATATTCTCTGTGCCATCGCGACCAGATGATAAGTCGATGGAAATACCTCGCTTATAAAATTGAATTCTCAAGTAGAAGACGTCGAAGAAAACGATTCTTGACTAGAACCGGAATTTGAAATTGTTTAACTTCAAAAATGGTAATTATAAACGATTACATCACAAGAATTTAGTTTTTTGTTAAAGGAAGGAAGATTTTTTAACAACCTAAACAACGATAAAATATGGATTTATAATATATCACCGGTTGTTTACTTTTTTTGCACTGAAATATAAACGGTTTTAGGCAAATATGAGATATTAATAGCTCAGTCAACTCATTGTGATGCGATTTTATGTTTTCGCTTTCGATCTCGATTAGATCATCACAAAGGTGTTTGATTATAACGGTTTTTCCATAAATCATTTCAGATTATAAAATTATTCATAAAATCCATCAAAAAAATATTAAGAAATTATAGACTTCAAAGTGTTAAATTATTAAAGTGTTAAGTTATTTATCAAAGGGTTTTATCTTGTTATTTTAACGCTAAAAAAAAGTTCTCAACAATATTTATCTTAAAAAAATTAAATATAAACTCACCTTATTAAGTTAAGCTTTTCACTTTTCACTTAAAACATTTCCTAAATAAAAATTAAATTAATAAAAAGATAATTGGAGGTTTTGCCACTTTGCACGTTCGCGCTATTAACTTGAAAGCTTTTCAGGAAGCGTTCCAGGAACCGTTTCAGTAGTTGGTCGGCGTGCGACTGAATATCCACGAACGGTTCAAAGCGTAAGAACGCGCACAATCCTTGCTGATGACAGTTTTTTTTCAACAGATTTCAATCATTTTTCAAATTAAACCGCAAATCCCATCAACTCAAATAAATTTAAACTCAAAAACTAAAAAAAAACTTAAAACATGAGTAAACAACTTTATAAAATTATTACACCTCTTATAAATTCACTCCACCTTCACAATTTACGAGATTATAAATTTCAAGAAAATAATGAACGATTAAACAAGTAAATTTAAGAAGTGTTAAAAATTTGGAGAGGATGTTTTATGAAATGAAGTAATTATAAAGTTTTGACGGGTTCGTTTACAAGTTTCCGTTACATTTTCTAGTTGGTATAACTTGAATTATTAAGACCCAGCCGAACTGAATTAAACGTTAAACGACCCACTGTTGGTGGAAATAGCTTTAATTCAGGTAACATAGGGGTTTTCGAAACCCCAACTATGTTAAAGCTTATAAATTACAAAGTGGTTTCGGTCAAACGTCATCAAGCAATAATCGTCAACCCAACAATGTCCCCCGAGTATTAACGGGAAAGCTGCACTCAATATTCGTGAATAATTGAAATTCAACAAATACGATTGTCATGGAAGTATTTTATTTGTGTTATTTTTTGGATTTTTTACCACAATTTTTTTTTAGTGGTAAATGTAGAAAATAGAAACGATATCAATCATCTAATACCAATATTTGTTGGTGGGAAAAAAAATTCTAATCGTAGACGGTAAACGTTTCGATATCCAATCGCAAGAAAAACGTTTTCTTGGAATTGAGTGGTTATAAAAATGTACGGTACCATAATCAATGTAGAATATAGATTTAACACGATAAATAAAATAGAAAGAAATCAAAACGTCACTGCACTTTTATATCTACAAAAACATTTCCTAAAGAATCTAATCGTATAAGTTCCAATTTACAGGAAATTTAAAACGTATTTTGAAGGAGCTAAAAGTTTGATTAGCGATTTGACCTTAATAATGGAAAAAATAAAAATCTAAACTCAAGGAGAGGAACATCTTGGCAATAAGAGCAAACATTTCCAGTTCATTCCGCTTAATGGGTCTGCCGGTTAATAGAAACATCCCCTTAATCGGGACAAAATATATAAAATCGTAACTTTCTATAACTATTTATTTCCGCTTATTCGGTCCAATAATTCGGTTAATTGGTCCAATTTGTCTCATCGTTCTGGCGAGCCGTTATGATTAGCGACTTTCTCCGAGTCGTATTATGATTGTAATTTCCTTTAATGTTCTTTTGTGTTTCCGCCTTAGTTAGAACATAATTTTCATATTACAAAGAACAATAATATCGAGGAAAATATGAAAATTAGATGAAATCATGGTATTACATTCTATTGATGGTAGCACATAAGATTCGAAACATATTAAAGAAAAGTTTTAGTAGAAAAGTTATAGCAAATTTTATTCTTAACAATATTGCTCTTGTTCACTTTTGCTCTCAGATGCATAAAAATTGAGAAAAATATGAAAATTAGACCAAACCGTGGTTTTACATATTATTGATGGTATAAAAGTTGTATCACGGCATTCAAATGTTGAATTCGTGAGGATAATTTTTAAAAACATGCCGATATTAGCTATTTATCATTCACCTTCCAGGAATTTTGGCGCTTTTCTTAATAAATTCAATATTCTACTTTTTAGACTAATTTTGACCAAGAATTTAGGCGATTTTAAAGTACTTTTTCGTGCTGGGACGGGTTAGGCAAGGCAGTTGTGCCAGTTATGTGAATCTTATGGTCTAGGACTAATAAGCCGTCAAGCTACCCGTGGTCGTGCTTGCTTAAACACAGTTTTTAGTAATTTTGATCATGATGTTTATAGGGTTGCTTTTATTGAGCCTTGTATTTCTGATCATAAGGCAGTTTCTTTTGACTGTAAAATTATACACCTAGCATCTAAACAACAAGCTAGGCGTATTTATAGACCTATTACTGAACATGGATTACTACATTTCTATAGGTGTGTGGAAAAAATCAATTTTTCCATTGTTGAAGATACAAACATAGACATAAACAGTAAGTTTTCTAACTTCACAAATCTTTTAACCGCTGCTCTTGATTCACTGGTTTGATAATGATGTAAAAAAACTTAGGGATAAATTGAAACAATTAACTGCCCTACACACGTGTGAACCGCCGTTTATCAGTTTAGCAACTTTAAAAAAGTTTAGAAAGTTGTATCGGGAAACTATATTAGATAAGAAACAAACAGCTAACAACAAATACATAAATAGTTCAAATAACACACAAAGAGCAACTTGGACAGTAATTAGAAACTGCAACCCAATTCAAAGACGAGAACAGACGACTAGCATTATCGCTGACAACTTTAACCCCAGACTGGTGTAAGTGACGAATCCGGCGAGGGTATGCAATGTAATGATTTAGTTGAGATGTGTTTTTCCTTTCAGGAGGTTTCCTACGGTAAAGTGCGCGATGTAATCGCAGAACTAAAAAATACAAATAGTTTTGATGTATTTTCCTTAAATGCCAAGCTGATCAAAACAGTCAAAAATCTTATAGTTATTCTATTAGCTAAACTTATTAACGAATGTATTCGCACTTCCGTATTTCCAGACTGTCTGAAAATTGCATAAGTTGTACCTATACACAAGAACGGTTCCTTACACGACGCGACGTGTCTAATTATTATTATAGACCTATATCTATTATACCTGTAGTTGGGAAAATATTTGAAATTATTTTAAATTTCCAAATAACTTGCTATTTAAAAAGTAATCAATTACTAACTAATGATCAGTTTGGATTTAGGAAGGGCCGGTTAACCACTGACCATTTGTGCTTTGGTTGAACAAACTTCATAAATTAAATTTTTGTACGAAAAGCGTAAATCTAGATGAATCCTATTTATCTGACTGTCAATAGTGTGTATCATTTAATGATAAAAAGGTTCTGTATTGGGTCCCATATTATTCTTAATCTTTATCAATGATTTATCAAAAAGTATACAAAAAGTATTCTTTTAGCTGATGATACCACGACCTTAAATGTGTCAGCCTCCTCACAGGAATTAAGACAACAGATCGTGCTATCACATGAAAGCATTGAAAAATGGTTCTCCATCAATCAACTTAAATTAAATCAGTCTAAAACACATGTTTTGCATTTCTCTCTTCGTCAACTTGATTCAAACTATCAATCTGAACCTATTAAATACCTCAGTATGTATTTAGATTCGAAGCTAACATGAGATGAACAAATTTTTCAGATAACAAAAAAATTAAACTAGAGCATAGTCGCTATAAGAAATTTAGTCAATATAGTATCACTCGAGGTGATAATAAAAGCCTATTATGGCTGTTTTTATCCTCACTTATCTTATGCGATCCTTTGCTGGGGGCATTCTGCGCATGCGGTACGAGTATTTCATCAGAGGCGATGTGTCAGGGTGATGGCTGGCATAGGTTTTTCTGAGTGTTTTCGACGGAAGTTTGTTGATTACAAACTTTTGGCATTGCCTTGCCTGTATCTACTCACTTGTGTGATGCACGTTAGGAAAAATCTGCCTTCTTACTAAAAAAACAATGACTGACACAATTACAATACCCGAAATAGGAATGATCTTATAATAAATTACAGCCGAACGACTAGGGCGCGAGATGGACTGAATTATTATGGTATTAAATTTTTTAATGCGTTACCTTCTAACATTCAAACATTACCAACTCTATCTTTTAGACGCACGGTTGCAGCGTACTTGACAGCCGGCGCCTTTTATAACTTTGACGAATTTTTTAGTGCTGATTTTAGTTCTATTGGCCAGACTGTTACGTAGACCATTATCGATCCTTCACCCACCAGCAAGTCTTCTTGAACAGTATTTTCTCGTTTTTGTATTTTTTTAGTACTTGTGGGTAATACTTAATTTATGAAAACCACGAATAAATTATTATTATCAAATTTTATTCTAAACAATTTTGCTTTGTTTACTTTTGCTCTCAGATGCATAAATATCGAGAACAAATCGAATACATCTCTGCAAAGACGACCATTAGTCGATTAATTAAGCATCAAAACGAACTTAAAAGACTATGGACAAATAGCTGAAATCAATCTGGATCATCCCGTAAATAAAAACCGTAAGTAAAAACGCAACCTGAAATAGACGAAGCCATTCTATCGCTGGTTGTCGGAAATCTAAAAAGTTATTATTAATCGATAACTGTCAAGCTCATCCACTCAACTTCAATTTTATCATCCAATTCCACCTTTACAATGCAACCGATGAATATGGGTAAAACCAAAAATTTTAAACTGCGATACCGCAAAAGTTTAGTATAAAACAAGTAATGTAGAACCCGAAAAGTGCACAGCACATATAGGCATTAGATTAGGATTAATAAAACTGTAGCCAAAGATGGTCAATACTTTAAGTAGGTTTTAGAGAAGTTTCGTCTTCTGTCGGAAATGAAACTAAGAGAAAATGTGTTTGTTGGAGTTCATAAATGGTGTTCGATTCCAAACTTGACTTACAAATGAAAGCAAAAGACCGGATGACTTGAGTATCAATCAAATAAGTTCTATAAAGTATTATTCCTATTATTCATCGTCCTTCTCCATTGACTGTAAATTGCATTAAATCCTGATATTGTATGAAGGGTGTTGAATCAGTCCAAGAGTTTGTAACTTTGGTGTAATTTTGCGTATTTCCAAGAAAGTTTTTAATAAAGTTTTTGAATAGCATTATTTTAAGGTTAGCATAAATGATCAGTTTCTACATGTCTTATTTCAACAAATCAATAACCCTCCTTTTATCGTTATGTTTTTTGCACGGGCAAATCAAATGTTATCGGTTTCAACCCTCCATACTTAATGGTAACGAAATCACTTGGGAACTCTTGCAGTTTGTTGGAATCCGGGACTCAAGAGAGAGGATTCTTATCTTAGCCTCGTTAGTGGACAGGTTCATGAAGTCAAAGT